ATTTTATTTATATGGCCAAGCTTGAGTTTTCATGCAACTTTTAAAAGAAGTTGATTATTATTTCAATGCAGATAGGATCTATTTAAAGAGTTGGGGTATAATCCAGATAAAGCTAAATACATTTTTTTCATATATTTAAACATTTATAGAAGTTGAATTTACTGGTACTTAAAATTGAAGGGATTGTGCTCTTTCTCTGGAACAATGTGTGTAATCTACAAATTTAGTAAAAATATTGTCCAGGATCCTTGGTTTATAGGACTAAACCTGTATTTCCTATTGAAGGGTGAAGTAAACAGTATTTTAAATTACTGTACTGATATAAAATAGACACTGTACATACAGACACACACACACACACACAGACAGAGAGACAGATTAATATTGACTGGCTTTTAATGATTATGTGTTAGAAATGCGCTAACAATTACAAATTTTAATAGCAAAATAGTTTTGAATATTTAGAACAGCCTGTGTAAGCAATTTGTATTAAGGTGTATTCTGATTTTATGTAGTAGCTTTAGCCTGGTAGTGTGGGGTCACTCTTCATGGGATAATGCACAGGGACGCTCTCATTTTCAAAAGAGAATCTTGTGTTAGGACTAAGCAGTATTTCAATGCATGCTTGTGTAGCTAAAATCCCAGAGATAGTTAAATGACACCTAATGCAGTATTTAGTCAAGGGCACTATTGTTTGGTGTAAAATATCTGAATGATCTGAAATGCAAAATGCTTATAAACAGCAGAGGTTCAGATGCTAGAACATTTAATACAGTTGAAATGCAGCAAAATACTGTGTTTCTGTGCAAAGCAGAAACACATATGTTGTGATAGGAAATTATTAGACTTGGAGGATATTATTAAGAGTTTTTCTCGCTATTCAGAGTTGGCCCTTCTAGTAGGCAAGATGAGATGGCATACCTCATATGGCAGATAGTGAAGTTTAATTAGAAATCAGCAAATTGCCGCTTATTTTATTATGATGCCAGTTGTTACGAAGGGCATCATTTGAATTTTCTTTCTTAGGCACCAATATGACTTCTCCGCACATATTAATAACATACACTCCATGTTCCAAAACCTTGCAGGACTCGCTTCTACTCACAGAATTCCATCCGTGTAGCGTATGTGCTTTCTGTTGTCAGGATAAAGTCCATGCATTAAATAGGGGATACTGTGTATGTAACATTTTTGATCACTGAACCATAATTAAAGGGGAACTTGCAGGCTTTTACATTTACTGAAGAAAGAGGTGTTCAAGGTACTCCCCTAGCAATTAATCTTGTGGCGATATTAGAGTTTGTTGGAAAGTCTCTATCTCTTCCGTACTTTTATCCCCCTTACTCTGGGTGTTCCCCCTCCAATAGCATGGCATTCAAGGAATTAAAATGACTAAAATGCTTCTCACATCATATAATTTACTGTATGGTTATAGAGGATTCAGGGTGAAAAAGCAGTAGTTTGAGGTCATAAATGAGAGTCATTCTGACTAATGTGTGGGATAGAAATTTAATTAATAAATAATGGAAAGCCATTTCTGACCTTCTGTCAGAAGATGCAGTGTTTGAGCAAGGAAACATAGCTTCTTGTACCCACTGACTAAAAATTCTTAACAAAAGGCCAGGTATTTATAGGAAATATGGCTGTGGAATTAATGCAAGTACATAACAGGAACAGTATTCCAGTTTAGAAGGTAGGCAAGTCAAGTCATCCTGTTGTATATTCACTGTCTGTTGGTATATTTCTCTTTTAGAAATGGAGGCTGACTGGTCCAGTGAGATACATGAAGTATCTTATATAGTTATAATTTCCATGAGCCAGTTTCTTAAATAACTGTGGAAAATACTACAATTTTGAACTAGATAATAAAATGTTTTAGAATCCTAGTTAATAGATGATCTTTTATCAGTTGGAACTCCTAAGAGCCTCTGGAGTAAAATAAAGAGTTGTTGATTGATAAGGGAAAGATTTATTTCTATTGGGATGATTCCTTTGTTGTCCCCCTTGAAAGGAAAGGCTACTTCTGTTTGAACCGGGATCCATGCTGGAAGAAGTATTAGGGCAGGAATTTCACTGATTCCTCCTTTCCTAGCAACTTTGAACAGCATTCTCACTGTTTTGGAGAATCCTGAAACCTTCCAGAGCAGAGCTTTTATGACCTTGGGGAGACTGCAGGTAGAATCACAAAAGTGTTCTGTCTTTTCCATGGGATCATCCAGTTAATAGAATTTTGTTCTCTGCAATTTTAAAACCAGCTCCTGCAATGTAGATTAGGAAAAATGTGGTCACCCATTTAAGTTAAAACATTGTATAAATTGTACCTGTTTTAATTGGGTTTTAATTTTTCTACTGCTATGTTATCTGTATTTTAATCTTCCTGGTTTGTGACTATAACATAAAACTAAAAAAAACCCCCCCTATATCCAGCCCAACATCTTTGTGTGCTTTAACTAGCATTAGCAAGTATGCCTATTGATAATTGATAATAAAGTTGGTACAGAAAATCCAATATATGTAGTTCTCATCTAATGCTAATTTATTGATTATTTAACCCATGAATTGGCAGGGCTGTCTGGAGCAAGTGAGTGATCTGCCTCCTTGATGCTCACTGCCTCTGCCCATTGCATCTGCATAAATCAATAGCCCAAGAACCCAGCGTTTGAATTTATGGTTTATTGTTGGGTTCAAACTTGGGGGCGGGGTTGTCCCTAAGCCCAGAGTTCTGCGGTTGCACATTGCATCAAACAACCTGGGAAGCAGGCTTTCCTGTGTTGTTGGTATGGAGGACACAAATTGAAAGTGGCAAGCATATACAAAGCAGTGCACCTGCTTGTTTATTAGGTCCAAACCTGGTCAGTTGTACCCCAGAAATATTGGTATAATCACTTGGGACTGCTGCGCACATGAGTGTTTCAACATCAAGAAGCCCCCTACAATTAATTTTAAACTGTTGGTGGTTTACCCCTTAATATTGATAGGAAATTATAGGAAGCTGTAGCCCTTCAAGTCTTCATATTATATAGAATCTTGGAATATAATCATATTGTTGATGGTCTAGTTCAAGTTTATTTTCTACTGTTGTAGTATTTAATTTGCTCTTCAGATTGACTCCAGCTAAAGATATTCTGTGGTTTGGATTTTGCAAGGAAATAATAAACCTGAAATGTTACAAATACCAAGTTATCAGTTTTTACTTCCTATTTATTTTTAGAAATAACTATGTATAGTTATTTACTTCAGCATTTTTAATACACCTATGACCTTACAATTTGGTAGTAAATATAATTGTAAATGAGGAATTGGCCAGTATCAGGATTTGAATTCAAAATGCCAAGTGGCAAGAACATCAGTAATAAATCAATAGCAAATATTCAGGTCATGGAAAAATACTGAATATTCAGACAAGGAATAAAGTAAATTAGACAGTAATTCATTGAGTCAAACTATATAGCATTAACCATTTGACAAAATTGTAAAAAAAATGCTCTTAAAATTTTACATGACCATGTAACTATTACAGATTACAGTGCTACATTAAAATAAATTTACTTCGCAGTATACTACATTACTTCCCCAAAAGTTCTTGAAAAGCTTATCTGCCCCCAGAATCTTTCTGTGTGTGACTTAGGAGCAGTTTACTTATGGAGTAGTTAGCCCCTTAAAAGCAATTCTGTACAGGGTATCACTGGTGTATGCATTGTTAACTCATAGACAAATTAGAAAGTAGTTATTTGTTCCAGATTCTACTGCTATTCTTCATATGCAGCATAAAACAAGAATTGACACTGTATGCTATGTCTTTCTCTATTTCAAAGCTGTGGGGTTTGAAGGCTAGTCATCAGTATTTGTTACAATTGATGAGAAGTTTGTCCTAGACTTGTGGCCTAGTTTACACAAGCTCACAGTGTAGACGATCAAACCTGAGACCACTAATTGGAGATAATATTTAACTGTTCTCTTCTCCCTGTGCCTGCCCCACTCCCAGCCCCCAAA